TTTAAGTGTGTCCTGATCAAATTAAAAACTGACACGTAATTAAAAATAAAATTTTAAAAAAAATAGAAAATAACTTTTTTTACATTAGTTAGTGCAACTTGATTAGTTTGGGACATGAAAACAGAATTTTTTTTAGGACAAGTGATTCTTATTCAACGTTAATGATTAAATGTTAATAGGATAAAAATTTAAAAACAATAAGTGATAAAATCAAAAGAAAAATGCTCATGTCACTAATAATTTTTTATCATATTGTTTTTACATCTAAATTCTAATGTTTATTGTTATTTTTTAAGCAGAAACCTTTTCATAATTACGTGAAAATGACGTCAACAAAATTAGGATGAAAATATCACCATTTTTCCAAAATCCTAAAAGCTGTTTGAAAAGACAGAGATGCCCAATAAAGTCTCTTCAAGAAACAAAAGAAAAGACATTACAGCATATATGTTGTATGATTAATCTAAAGATTTTATGGCAGACACACTTAGTACATATTTTACAGCAAGGAAATATTTGCTGTCTCTGCAACCACCTTTTTGATTGAATAAAAATGTGGGATATAACATGTCCCAATTTAGTATCTCTGTCATGTCCACTTGTTGTTAAACTTGTAAATTTAATTTATTATTTTTGCAAAATAAAATTAAAATAAAGTATTATTTTTAATTTGTTGGAAAACATTACTAAATGTAGAACAGGCAAATAGGAAGTTTAAGAGACATAAGATCCTCTACTAAAAACATGGGTTTGGTTTTGGGGACTCCCAAAGTTAGGATAAATATTATGATTTTTGGAGCGTATATACAACTTCTAAAATGTTCATCAATGAGTTCCTTACTTTATACGATTTAAACTTACTTTTTTTTGAATGAGTTGAATTCTTTATGTGTGGACTAATTCTTGGATTTAACATCTTGCAAACATTTCAGGCCACAATGGCAATTTAGCTGAAGATAAACTCCTATTTGTCTAGATTATTGGCAATGAATAAAAATATCTTATATCCATTATTATTCTATGTCAGTGTTAAAAAAAATTACAGATGATGATTGTTTCTTATTGGTGATAAAATAATAACAAAATAATAGATATAAAAGATTTTTCTCGTGCACGAATTAAGGACTTGTCATTACTGACTAACTATTAGACATAGATTATTTTTTATCCGCAAATAAATTGTATTAATTAAATATCAAAGATACAAAAGTAAAACTTTGAAGATACTATGTAAAGAGAATGAGATCACATGACAAAATAAAATAACAGAAATAAATTAAAACAATTGGTTGAGATATTCATGACAATTGTCAGCCCAATACGAGTATGGTATGACAGATTTGCCTCGTATTTTGTTGATCCAAATATAGAATTTCACCTTCACAATTTATGTAATATGATGGATAGAGGTTTCATTTGATTTGAAAATAATATGATTTAACTAACCAAATGGATCATATTGTTGCTAGACAAATTATACTTTAGAATTTTCGGTACCTTCTGTCAGTTGGCATTCTCATATGCATGTTAAAGTGAGTTAGTGAATCTGATGGAAGATTAATATTGTATCACAACCAGTGATAAAGATAAAGAGATTGCCAAATAGGGTAGATAAACTGTCAAGTGAAGAAAAGGTGTTGGCAAGATTTTGAGTGTTCATTGCAAAGGTTGCATAATAATTCTCCATCCTGAGGTGAAATGCCCGTGTCCATGGTTGGGAATTTGTCCTGAAAAAGTTTCCTTTGGATTCCAATAGTTGAATAAGATTATTGTGATTGTGCTCCAATACGTTACCTTGTTGAGCGATAAGTTTGTAAGCTGATTTAACAGAGTACTGTTTGTTTTTGTCGTAGCATCACTCCCATAAGTCAGATTTATTTTTCCGTAAAACATAATTCTAAATGTCTTGCAAATGGTTCTTGATTTACTCATGTTCCCAAACAAGTGGTTGTCTTATCCAAGTAATGTTCCACTCTCATATTCCCTCTAACTAACTCTAATGATCTTTTATTAATGTATCCAGGATAAGCTTTGGTTGTATTTGATCCATCCCCTACTTTCTGGACAATTCCTTGCTAGAATCAATTGGGAGAGGCATTACCCCAAAGTTGTAAATTGCATAGGTACCTTAACCAAGATGAAGTCTTTGATCCTTGCTGTTGATTGAATGTTTGAATTTATGGTTTCTTATCCAAAAATTATGTCTCGATCTAATGAAAAATTGTCACTTCATTATTATTTTTTGATAAAAATACAAAATAATATTTTTACATTAGTTATAGTAAGTTTATTGATTTGGAACATAGAAACATTATTATTTTGAAAGAGGTGGTCATCCTCACCCGATAAATAGGAGTATTAATGCAGAAATAACTCTCCCCCATAACTAACATTGTTGTTAGAGATACTAAAAAGGTGATTCAAACTATAAAGTCAAAGGAATATTTGAGTCACTCCTGAAATTATTTATGTTAAACATGAAGTCATCATATTTGCATAACAGCCGCTAAAGTCCCAAAGAAAATATTATCGAAAAGTAAACATGGGTACGAGGAAGATGATTTTATGTTGGGCGTGGGCAAAGTGGATTCACTTCTCACTGCTCCACGCTTGTGATCGTACTCTATTAGACAATAAATTATGGGAGATAGGATAAACGGTGATAATATATTTTTAATGAGTAATGAGTTTAAAACTTTAAATTGTATTTTATATTTTTTCTTGTTGATTAACTAAATATTGTAGGAAATAAATACACGATTATATAAATTACTCACAATTATTTTTAGTATTTTTTAATATGTGGGTACCCACGGATTTGCCGGGTAGCCAAGGACCCGCAGACAGTGGATCCAGTGAGTATTAACATGGGTCTAGGGTGGGTATGGATCCGAAAGTGAAATAACAAGACAGGTCTAGGTAATGCACTACCTAGAGCCATCTAGACTCATTATCATCCCCAACTGAAGATGTAAGTTATTATTTTTCCTTGTATACTCATGGGTAAAAATATCACATTATTATATATAAATGATAAAAATATCATCACATTGTATCTAAAGTGTAAATGTATCACATTATGTTTTTTTTTTTGTATTTTTCTCTCCTAGAGATCATCTTGACCCTCTTAACCTCCCTAGAAAAACTGATAGCAATTGTAGGTTTGTACTTAGCTACTTACGTTATAATAGTAAAATATTGTGAGAAATGAAAACATTTAATATGAATTATTGGGTGTTATTTGGATGATCAAGATTAAAAGATATATGTATATAATTATTATGTGACCAATAACTAATTTTTAATAATAACTCCCATAATACGAGAATTACTTAAAAGTTTTTGGGGAGACCACACAGAATTTACTCCCATTGATTTGATTAAACACATGAAGTGCGTATTTTAACAATATTGCTACATCATAAATCCCACCTCACTTTTAGGTGCCATAGTTGAATGCTGGGGAAGACAGTTAGCCTTCATTTGGTTGGGATGATTTTAAGAAGAAAGAAGATGATAGGAAAGAGTTAGGAGAGAGTTTCTCTTTGTCTTCTCTTTGGTTGACAAGAGAAATAGAGTAGAGAAAAGAAAGTATAGTGGGCCCCACCTAAATTTTCTTCTCCTCACATCACCAAAGAAAGTGGGGAAGGTGAGTTAGAAATATGAAATTACAATTACACCCTTACTTTTATAAAGTAATAACAATCCTACAAAAATGAAAAACCAAATATAATATGTGTATTATTGTCTCTACAATAAATATCATATTTCTTTATATGTGAATACATTCTAATTCACTTTTTCTTAAAATAATAATTTATTCAAGACTGATGTTAGCATTTTCCTTTGTTTTATTATCTAAAAATGATATAAATTTTTTAATGTGCAATTATAATTACCGCTAAATATGTGACTAATGAGCTTTGATAAGTTAACCCAACTGAAATTATAATATTTTTAAAAAGGGACGATGAAGTAAATACTCTTGAAGGCTGAGCCACAAGTTAATATTAATTGTAGGGTGATGTGTGAGTTAATAATGCCAAAAATAAACAAGTCTATTTCCTGTTTTTAAGAGTGATGAAATATATTTATCAAATGATTATAAAATATTCTATTTTTATTCATTTCCCTAACAAACTCACTCAAATTCGGAGTGTAACAGTTTTTGAAGTGTAGGCTAGCTTAAATATATGTTGAGAATAATGGAACTTAAAAATAGTCCCAAACATGTAAGTGAGAGGAATCTGGTTCTGGATGAGATCATAACATATGGTATTTGATATTTTTTAATGATTTAGATTTTAATTTAAAATTTTATTTTAAATGATCAAGTTAATCTTAGTCCTACATTCTTCTACTACTGACTCTCCCATACGAGAGAGGATCTGAACTCAAGTGAGGGTGGTTTCAATGAAAACAATTGAATAGGAAATTGAAACCCTAACTAAGGAAGGAAAGAGAGAGAGGAATTTTGATTGAAGGGGGTACCCCTTATTATTTCTGTGAAGGGTAAGTTTCATTTTCCAAATCTTAAGCTATTATTCTGTTTCCATCTTTGGAAGAAGGACTCAGATGAATCACTATTCTCTCTCTCTCGCCTCTCTGTGACTGGCAGATCTTAAACACCAACTAAGTGCAAAGTGCAAACACACACGCTCTCCCTTCCTCTCTCTCTCTCTAGTCTATATATACACCACTCTATCATTTTTCATCTTCAGTTCTATACTTCTCTTTAACCCCTCTCTCCTGTTCAAATCTTGGAGTTTCTTGTTTTACCCTTTTCTTTTGGTTTTCTGCTTACCCTTCTTGATACTCTTTTTCGTTTCTTTTTCTTTTCCTTTTCTTTTGATGGTCTTCACTTTTGAATCTTGCATAGAAACTAGGGTTAGGGCTGTTCCATACCCTTATCTATTTTTCTATTCCCTACTTTTTTCTCTCCTCTCTTTTACATGGATAACGATCATGATTAACACAAAGAGATCTAAAGAAACCAGTCGTTGTTTGCTCTTGGAGCATCATCAAGATTCACATGGTTTATGGGGTTTTGGTTTAGGGTGGTCCTAGATTGCTTCAAATCAATCATAGCCCTTTGATATGAGAATCTTGATGATGCTGCAGCGGCAATAAATGGCTAATATGATATATACCAGGTTATTTCCCAAGGATTTTCACTACAACACAATAGTATGTTGTTTTACTTTACCAGCTTGGAGCATAAGAGGTTTATTCAATTCATCATGTTTAATTCCTTCTATTCTCTATTTTAACTTTTTTTATTAGATGCTGAGTTGAATCACACTTTACACATAGTTTCAGGTGATGCTGATAGTATATCTTATAAGGCACTGTGATCCTTGATCTTCTGACATTATTGAAGGTCTATTATTCAGTGATGTTGGAGTTGAGTCATTTCACTACCACTACCCTTCTGGCATTTGTACTGCAAAAACACCTCGATGCAAATCTCATCAGGTTTGTCTGTACCATGGTGAAATTTTCTGTCCTACCATAAATCATAGAATGCTTTTACTTCATGGATATTTTGGGGTTACATTATTTCTCTCCTCTTTTCAGCTTTTTACCTCTTTATCTAGATCTTGATCTTGATCTTATTCGATCTTGGGTACAACCAATATTTCTTTTACTGAATATCAATCAATTTGGACAAGGATCATCTTTTAACTTTTACTCGATTTTTTTTATTTTGCTATTATATTCACAAGTTGCACTATAAGTTATTTGAGTTTTGGTAGACGGTAAAAAGACATGGATATTTTCTATAAGCAAAAGATTTAATAAAACAGCATAAATGGTGACAACCGAGATACAAAGAGAATACAATAGCAGCTATAATCATGATTTATATAAGATTAATGGTCTAAACACCAATATAGGAGTTTAGACTAATGCAAAAACAAAACCAAATCCAAGATCTAATATAAATCAACTCTATAAAAAATTACTTCATTTCTCATAAGCTAAATCGACCACATAGATTCAAACCATAACATCCACCATAAACTTGTAGCTTTTGATTAATACATGAATTTGTTTCTTTAAAAGTTTGGTGACTTTGTGATTTGCTCTTTTTTGGGAACATTTTTATCTATAAATACTGTTGATTATTTTCTAAAATGATATGAAGTCACAAAGCCATCAATCAAAACTTGTTGTTAGTAAAACCAAAATCTCTATTTTTTTAAAACAAACACATATTGGGTTTGGTGGAAACTACCATGGATGGAAGATAAGTTCTTATAACAACACATTCCATTAACCATTAGTGATTTATTATAAAATGAAAAAAATATCTTTGCACCAAATAACATAGTATTTTCTTTCTTGTCTATTGTGAAAAATGCAATTTAGTTTAGTTATAAAAATGGCTAGTTGAGTTGTGTTTTGCTATAAGATCTTACGATAGTTGTTTATGCATGCCTCATGTATCTTAGTTGGAAGGTCTTATATTATACTATAAGGTTTCATACATACACAACTCATGTAACCATTCTTCTTCTTTTTTCGCAAATATTGAGCTCTTTAGTTTGCGTGTGATAGGTTTATAATGATGTTATTTATAAATATTGTATTTATGCGTCTTTTATTTGTATGGTTGGTTTTGTTGCTTGTTGCTGTTATTTGCTTTGCATATCATTTATTTGCTTGTTGTTGTTATTTGCAGGCATAGGATTTTTATCACATTTGTCAAATTCCTCATCTCCAACACCACACGTTAGAATGAAGTTATGGTTGCATCTAGGATCTGCAATTGTTTACCTAATTGGAAATAGTCTCATATTAGATAATAAATCTCATTTTTTCTTCCACTCCAATTATTGTTTCAATGATATTTCTTGATGAAGAATGTGCATGGCTTAATATTTCTTGTAAACCATCTAGAGCTTAACTACCGACTCTAAAATCAAGAAAAATATCATATCCAGTACTAGAGATGCAATATGGTATTATATATCTTTTCGTATTTGAATATCAATATCCACAACATAGTAAAAAATTAAATGTAACTTCATGATGAGTGAGTTATGTGCAACAAAAGTGGATAACATGTTAAAGGTGTCCACTAGCATGACATTTTGTGTTGGATATCTCTTTCAACCAATATAACGAATTTGGTCTTTAGTAATAACGATGGAAGGAATAGGTTTCCACCTATAGCACCATAATCAAAATTACCAAGCCTCACAAACAATGATAAAAAAATCAGAGAAATCGGTCTAGAAAGAGATTGACTAAACTACAAAAAAAAAACATAAATAATGGTGATGAAGCATAACGAGAGAAATTAGATAATGCAACCATAAATGGTGGTAATGGAGCAAGAAGAGAGAAATTTGAGATGGTGACTAATGTACCAATCAATAAGCAGAGAAAGAAATATCCATAAGATGTTAGTCATCTCTGATACTCTAGATAGGGAAATGATCTGGAAAAAAAATCATATGTAATAACACTTGTATATATTATGACAAGATAATTTTACCCTTAAAAATAAATGGAAAAACAACACTCTCAACTCTATTAATGAAGAGGAGTCTATAGGAACATAAATTCTTTATCCCAAAACTGTCATGCATGTGTAGTCGTATGTATAAGTAATATAAAAATGTTAGTTTTTATTTTTATTTAAATGTCATTTTTTAGACCTTGTTAGTGGAGTTTGGATCATCTCTTGTACTTCTTTCTGTGTTACTGGAACATAAAATCCAAAAATTTTGAACATTAAAAAAAATTAATTGAAAATCTATATTAATCATCTTTTTTAGTGACACATGTCATAATCTCACTGTAGTACAACCGAGGATACACATTAGTGTTAGTAGAAATATACCTTTTCTATATAGTATACTAAGTTTGAAAGCACAATTTATTTTATAAAGAATAATTCAGAGAAGAGTGTATGTAACAAAATATATGTACTTACTACTACAGAGGAAGAGGAAAGTGTGAAAATTATGAACTACAGTGACGCTGTTCAGTGGAGCTGAAGAAATCGCAAGAAAAATGCCTTTCATTTCAAAAATTGAGCGTCAATCTGATTACAATCTCTTCCCTTCCTCAACTCCTATCGTTATCGACAATGGCGCTTCATATTTTCGTATAGGGTATTCTTTCATTCCTCACCAAACCCTAATTTTCATTCCACACGTTTTTTTTGCTAATTCAAATTCCCTTTCATTTCAATTTTCAGATGGGCTGGAGAATCTGAGCCCCGTGTTGTTTTCCGCAACATTGTTCAAAGGCCACGCCATAAAGTAACCGGTTAGTTATTTTTTCATTACCCCATAAAGTTTATATTTCAATTACAATGTTCTTTCTTTGAAAAATTTGTTTTTTTTTACACAGGTGAAACCATTACTATTGTTGGTGACCATGATCCTGCATTATTTAAATACTTTGATTGTAGTCGATCAGGGCCACGCTCAGCATTTGAGAACAATGTTGTTTCCCAATTTGAAATAATGGAATATGTAAGTTTGAATTTTATGCTTCGATGTTTTAGATGAACATCGTTCGGAGATGTATTGATCAATTTTTGTTCCATGTATAGGTTCTTGATTTTGGATTTGACCGATTGGGTGCAAATGGATCAGAGGTCTGCCCATTGGTGGAAAATTTTTCATTTTTTATTTCCCTACCATTTCGCCTTGTTATATTTTCTATAGTAGTTTAGTTGGTGTTGTTGATACATAGCAGTTTTTTCGTTTCGTGAAAATATATTATTCCTTTTTGCTATTTTTAGGATTTAAATAGTTTTGCCTTGCTCTTTCTAATATTATTATCTTTAATGTTTGAGCAGATTAATCATCCTGTCCTGATCACAGAATGTGTGTGCAATCCAGTTCAATCTCGTAGAAATATGGCAGAACTTCTGTTTGAGACTTATGGAGTTCCATCAATCGGTACATATTAATACTTTGCAACCTACAAAAAAAAATCTGTGTTCTACTTGTGGTCTTCATTAAATTTATGCCCTGTCAAAGAGGCAGAAGCACAAATCTTGATTCTGTGCTAGATGCTGTATGTGTAATTTTGCATACATAATTTATTTGTACTTCTCTGTTATGGCAGCCTTTGGTGTTGATGCAGCATTCAGTTATAAGTATAATCAACAACAAGGGGTTTGTGCAAAAGATGGTCTTGCTTTGTGTCCTGGATTTATCACAACCCATGTCATTCCGGTATGCTTTTTACCATTTTTGGTGCATTCACACTGGCACACATTGTTAAATTTGTGAACATTATCTCATTTTATATTATCAATAGCACAAAACTGTGCTGTAGCGTTGTGGCCCCTGACCACTATAGAAATTAATAGCGGAGCGCTTCAGCTTGTGAGTGTCGTGGCTGTAAACAGTTGCTAAAACCCCTATGAGCTGCTCTGCACTTTTGAGCCTTCAAACTGGTTCTAAAGTCAGGTCATTTGACCCATAATGGAAACACCCTTTAATACCCTTTTTTCTTAGTTTACCTACTCCAAAAAGTGCATTTCATACCATTCATACTGGGCTTTGCTGAATTGGTTTTACCAGGACTTGTTATCAAGTGCTGTGTTTTTCTTTTCAATTGCCATTACTCTTTTGTATGTTTAACAATATCTAGTATGAAATAAAAAAAACTACAAAAACAAACTTAACTAATCATTACAAAATAACATAATAGATATCATAAATTCATAATTCACCGTAATATTATTCTGTCATATGATTTATCAAAAACATTTATCATGGTATCAAATATTTAGTGACAATGCATTTTGATCACTATGTATAACTGGTTTTTTTTTTTGGAGCATTTATATGTGCATAGTATAATTTTGTTATGTTGTTTCCCTAATCTTCAATGTGGTGGCTATCCAACTATCCGCCACCCTGCTATAGCATTTTTAGGGCCGGCTGCTATGCACCGCTAACCGGGACTGGCTACTTAGGTCTCCTTGTGTCTTATCATCATTATTGTGACTATTAACATCTTAATGTGTTTGTGGGTTACTTTTGAGCCACTAGTAGACTGTTGTCTTGTACTAGTGCTGATGAATTGAATGGAAAAAATCTCTAATTTTGCACTATGCATTCTCCTAAAAGGAACAGTTTTGTGTCATTCTTTTTA